GATACATGATTATATACGCCTGGAAAATCCTAGAGGGACTAGTACCGAACTTGCACACGAAAATCACTCCCTACGAAAGCAAAAGACTCGGCAGATGGTGCAACATCCCCCCAATGAAAAGCAGGGGTGCCATTAGCATGATAAGAGACAACACAATAAGTGTCAGGGGCCCAAGATTGTTCAACTGCCTCCCAGCATACATCAGGGGGATTACCAATAGACCCATGGCTGTCTTCAAGCAGGCACTGGACAGGCACCTAAAGTCAGTACCTGACCAGCTGGGTTGTGGTTCGTACATTGGATTACATATGGCCAGCAGTAACAGCCTGGTTGATCAGGCCCTGATCCACCATGAGGCCTGGTCACAGACCGGGCTGCGGGGGCATTGATCCCCGGAACTCTCTCCAGGTATACTCCAGGTAATGCCTATGCTGTACTGTTCAATATTTTGTGAGTTTTTTTTATTTCATTGCTTATGATATGACAGTAAAGAGGCTTCAATTCTAAATAAAAATATAATTCTCTTTGCATTGTTGCAAAGTGTCAGTTGGTGGCAATTAACTGTTACAGCAAGCAAGTGTAGCAGCTAAAAGTACTTCATTGCATTACCAAAATACAGTGGACCCCCGACTTACGATATTAATTCATTCCAGAAGTCTGTTTGGGTGCCGTTACCGAACAAATTTGTTCCCATAAGGAATATTGTAAATTAGATTAGTCCGTTTCAGACCCCCAAAAATACACGTACAAAAGCACTTACAAAAATAAACTTACATAATTGCTCGAGTTGGGAGCTGATCGTAAGGCGGGGGTCCACTGTATATACATGTATATACCAATACTACTGTATTCCTTTGCCACTTATTGACAAGATGAAATTTGTCTTTCTGCTTCTTTCTTCTTCTTTCAACAAACCAGCCATATCCCACCAAAGCAGGGTGGCCCAAAAAGAAAAACAAAAGTTTCTCTGTTTAACTTTAGTAATGTATACAGGAGAATGGGTTACTAGCCCCTTGCTCCTGGCATTTTAGTCGCCTCTTACGACACACATGGCTTATGGAAGAAGAATTCTGTTCCATTTCCCCATGGAGAGCTTTCTGCTTGTCAACAATAAATGGTTAGAACAGTAGGATAGTATTAACTTGAACAAACTCAAAATGGTCAAACTATGTATTGTATTAAATGGTGGACATGTTCAAATTTTTGTTGGTGAGAGTCATTGCCAGGTTGGTTATGCATGTATGATCCTTGGTTATCTTATAGAAAAAAGGATAACGTATTCTGTGTATCCATCCTGCACTGTATCAACTTTCCTGAAGTGGATCTTCATGGAATAATCCCCTAACAATTCTGTCATTTGGAGCTTCCATTTCTCATTTTGCCCTCATACCATGTCAGCACTGTACTGATCTCGTCCTCCATTATGTGTGAGGCTAATACATAGTCGGCAGATTCTGTTTGCCAGTTATAACATAAGCTTGATTTATGGCACTTTAAATCTTATTATCTGTGCAGTGCTGCCTCTACGTACCTTTCTTTGCAGTGGTGGTGGTAACAATACTACTACTAATAATAATAATAGTTTGGGGTGCCAGGTGTAAATGATAATGGAAGCCCTTTGATTGAACTTTGTATAGAAAGTAGTTATAGGTAATACATATTTTAAGAAAAATAGGATAAATAAGTATACAAGATATGATGTAGGGCGAAATGACAGTAGTTTGTTGGATTATGTATTGGTAGATAAAAGACTGTTGAGTAGACTTCAGGATGTACATGTTTATAGAGGGGCCACAGATATATCAGATCACTTTCTAGTTGTAGCTACACTGAGAGTAAAAGGTAGATGGGATACAAGGAGAATAGAAGCATCAGGGAAGAGAGAGGTGAAGGTTTATAAACTAAAAGAGGAGGCAGTTAGGGTAAGATATAAACAGCTATTGGAGGATAGATGGGCTAATGAGAGCATAGGAAATGGGATCGAAGAGGTATGGGGTAGGTTTAAAAATGTAGTGTTAGAGTGTTCAGCAGAAGTTTGTGGTTACAGGAAAGTGGGTGCGGGAGGAAGAGGAGCGATTGGTGGAATGATGATGTAAAGAGAGTATAAGGGAGAAAAAGATAGCATATGAGAAGTTTTTACAAAGTAGAAGTGATGCAAGGAGGGAAGAGTATATGGAGTAAAAGAGAGAGGTTAAGAGAGTGGTGAAGCAATGTAAAAAGAGAGCAAATGAGAGAGTGGGTGAAAATGTTATCAACAAATTTTGTTGAAAAAAAGAAAAAGTTTTGGAGTGAGATTAACAAGTTAAGGAAGCCTAGAGAACAAATGGATTTGTCAGTTAAAAATAGGAGAGGAGAGTTATTAAATGGAGAGTTAGAGGTATTGGGAAGATGGAGGGAATATTTTGAGGAATTGTTAAATGTCGATGAAGATAGGGAAGCTGTGATTTCGTGTAGAGGGCAAGGAGGAATAACATCTTGTAGGAGTGAGGAAGAGCCAGTTGTGAGTGTGGGGGAAGTTCATGAGGCAGTAGGTAAAATGAAAGGGGTAAGGCAGCTGGGGTTGATGGGATAAAGATAGAAATGTTAAAAGCAGGTGGGGATATAGTTTTGGAGTGGTTGGTGCAATTATTTAATAAATGTATGGAAGAGGGTAAGGTACCTAGGGATTGGCAGTGAGCATGCATAGTTCCTTTGCATAAAGGCAAAGGGGACAAAAGAGAGTGCAAAAATTATAGGGGGATAAGTCTGTTGAGTATACCTGGTAAAGTGTATGGTAAGTTATTATTGAAAGAATTAAAAGTAAGACTGAGAAAAGGATAGCAGATGAACAAGGAGACTTTAGGAAAGAGGGGGTGTGTGGACCAGGTGTTTACAGTGAAACATATAAGTGAACAGTATTTAGATAAGGCTAAAGAGGTCTTTGTGGCATTTATGGATTTGGAAAAGGCGTATGACAGGGTGGATAGGGGGGCAATGTGGCAGATGTTGCAGGTGTATGGTGTAGGAGGTAGGTTACTGAAAGCAGTGAAGAGTTTTTATGAGGATAGTGAGGCTCAAGTTAGAATATGTAGGAAAGAGGGAAATTATTTCCCAGTAAAAGTAGGCCTTAGACAAGGATGTGTGATGTCACCGTGGTTGTTTAATATATTTATAGAGGGGGTTGTAAGAGAAGTAAATGCGAGGGTCTTGGCAAGAGGTGTGGAGTTAAAAGATAAAGAATCACACATAAAGTGGGAGTTGTCACAGTTGCTCTTTGCTGATGACACTGTGCTCTTGGCAGATTCTGAAGAGAAGTTGCAGAGATTGGTGGATGAATTTGGTAGGGGTGTGCAAAAGAAGAAAATCAAAAGTGAATAAAAGGAAAGAGTAAGGTTATGAGGATAACAAAAAGATTAGGTGATGAAAGATTGGATATCAGATTGGAGGGAGAGAGTATGGAGGAGGTGAATGTATTCAGATATTTGGGAGTGGACGTGTCAGCGGATGGGTCTATGAAAGATGAGGTGAATCATAGAATTGATGAGGGGAAAAGGGTGAGCGGTGCACTTAGGAGTCTGTGGAGACAAAGAACTTTGTCCTTGGAGGCAAAGAGGGGAATGTATGAGAGTATAGTTTTACCAACGCTCTTATGTGGGTGTGAAGCATGGGTGATGAATGTTGCAGCGAGGAGAAGGCTGGAGGCAGTGGAGATGTCATGTCTGAGGGCAATGTGTGGTGTGAATATAATGCAGAGAATTCTAGTTTGGAAGTTAGGAGGAGGTGCAGGATTACCAAAACTGTTGTCCAGAGGGCTGAAGAAGGGTTGTTGAGGTGGTTCGGACATGTAGAGAGAATGGAGCGAAACAGAGTGACTTCAAGAGTGTATCAGTCTGTAGTGGAAGGAAGGCAGGGTAGGGGTCGGCCTAGAAAGGTTGGAGGGAGGGGGTTAAGGAGGTTTTGTGTGTGAGGGGCTTGGTCTTCAGCAGGCATGCGTGAGCGTGTTTGATAGGAGTGAATGGAGACAAATGGTTTTTAATACTTGACGTGCTGTTGGAGTGTGAGCAAAGTAACATTTATGAAGGGGTTCAGGGAAACCGGCAGGCCGGACTTGAGTCCTGGAGATGGGAAGTACAGTGCCTACACTCTGAAGGAGGGGTGTTAATGTTGCAGTTTAAAAACTGTAGTGTAAAGCACCCTTCTGGCAAGACAGTGATGGAGTGAATGATGGTGAAAGTTTTTCTTTTTCGGGCCACCCTGCCTTGGTGGGAATCGGCCAGTGTGATAAAAAAAAAATAATAATAATATAATAATAATTATAGGTAGTAGGCTGGTAGATAGCAACCACCCAGGGAGGTACTACTGTCCTGCCAAGTGAGTGTAAAACGAAAGCCTGTAATTGTTTTACATGATGGTAGGATTGCTGGTGTCCTTTTTTGCTGTCTCATAAACATGCAAGATTTTAGGTATATCTTGCTACTTCTACTTACACTTAGGTCACACTACACATACATGTACAAGCATATATATACATACCCCTCTGGGTTTTCTTCTATTTTCTTTCTAATTCTTGTTCTTGTTTATTTCCTCTTATCTCCATGGGGAAGTGGAACAGAATTCTTCCTCCGTAAGCCATGCGTGTCGTAAGGTGACTAAAATGCTGGGAGCAAGGGGCTAGTAACCCCTTCTCCTGTGTATATTACTAAATTAAAAGGAGAAACTTTCGTTTTTTCTTTTGGGCCACCCCACCTCGGTGGGATACGGCTGGTACGTTGAAAGAATAATAATAATAATAATAATAATAATAATCATTACCTCTATTTCTACAAGTACATGCAGGGTATGCAGAGCATTTCAGGCAATTTTGTCCCCAGGATGTGACCCACACCAGTTGGCTAACACCCAGGTACCTATTTACTGCTAGGTGAACAGGGACCATGGACCTAAGTGTGCAAGATGAGTGGGCTACTAACCTAGCTAGAGGACATAATAACTCATTCCAACATGCTTGTTCTCCACAACAGGTTCTGGCTGGTCTGGAGCAGAGTGTATCAGGAGCACGAGTACTTTTAGAGGAATTGAGAGAAAGAACCCAGCAAGAGGCTCTTGAGTTACGGCAGAAACTCTTGCAAGAGAAGGACGAAGCAGTGTCACAAGCAAAGTTTGAAGCTCAGCTCTCTAACATGGCCAAGTGTGTTATCTTTGAGATTTGTAATAGTACAGTAGTTCGTTATTATTTTATTGTAGTGTATTACATTATTATTGTAATGGTTATATTCCTATTGTAGTTATTAAATTAATATGAAATACAGTGTACTTGTAGATCACCTAAAAGTTAAAAATGATCAAATTTAACATATTCAAGGGGGGAAAAGGTGTCTGTTAAAACTGATTGTCTGTTACATCTAATTTATGATAATTTTCTGCCACTGTAATAGTAACAGACAGTTCTGAATTTAACAGACTTAGTTCAGTGAAATAAAAAAATAAATTTACCCAGCAGAGTACAGCATTGGTGAATAATTCTGAATTTAACAGACTCCAGAATCATCTGTAACAATAGTGGGTATCTTGACTCATGGGACTGTAATAAATGACAAGTTATTTATGTTTCCAAGCAGGAAAGCTGCACTCTACAGATGTACTCATTCTTGAATTAATTCACAAAATCATTACTTCACTGAAAAATCTTTAAAATAAAAATTGTTGTACAATATTTTTATTATTAACACACTGGCCGATTCCCACCAAGGCAGGGTGGCCCGAAAAAGAAAAACTTTCACTATCATTCACTCCATCACTGTCTTGCCAGAAGGGTGCTTTACACTACAGTTTTTAAACTGCAACATTAACACCCCTCCTTCAGAGTGCAGACACTGTACTTCCCATCTCCAGGACTCATGGGAAGTACAGTGTCTGCACTCTGAAGGAGGGGTGTTAATGTTGCAGTTTAAAAACTGTAGTGTAAAGCACCCTTCTGGCAAGACAGTGATGGAGTGAATGATAGTGAAAGTTTTTATTTTTCGGGCCACCCTGCCTTGGTGGGAATCGGCCAGTGTGTTAATAATAAAAAATAAAAAAAAATATTTTTATATTTTAATTCTTCACCTGTGATTTTAGCAACAAAAATAATGATAGTTGCCCCTTTCCATTATTTTTTTTAAATATGGAATTCCAGTCACATCATATATATCAGCATGATGTCAAAAATATATTTTTTGTTCATTGATGTGCTGCTTAATTTCTATGGTAATTGCACATACAGGTCATCAGAGGGGTTTCTTGTGCAAGTAAGAGAAGATGACGGCAGCCAGTCCTTACAACCCATAATGTTAGATTCTCTGATCTCCAGCGTGCCTGACCTCAATCCTGCTCCTCCTATCAATGGTGTCCGGAAAAAAGTAAGGGTGAAACTCTACTTATTTACAGAAAAAAATATTATTTACATAAAAAATTATTCTTACAGTGAACATTTCTGGTGATAAATCCAGCTGCAATATAATTTGTGTAGTTACAGTACTGTCAGTAGCTTATAATTTGTATAGTATTTATATTTTTATAACTACTGCATATGTTAAGGAACTAATTATTTCTCTGCACTGTATTTTTGTATCAAACTGTCACTGCCAGTAGGTGGGTGGTCCATGTGATAGTTTTAAATACAGTGGACCCCCGACATTCGATGGCATCGGCATTTGATAAATCTGACATTCGATGCATTTTAACGCAAAAATTTTGCCTCGACATTTGATCGAAAACCCACTATTCGATACGATTCCATTGCGCAGAGCATCATGGCCGACATGGCAAGTTGTGTAGCAGGCTAGCTGCGGGATTTTCAAGGATAGCTCCTGGTCAAAGAGGCTGACCAGGTCCCTACTTAACAGAACTCAGTGTGAATGCTTTGAGAAGATACCAGAGCAGCGAACGGACATCCCAGTGCATCGTTTCAGCGTAAATAGTTGAAGTGTTGTGCAGTTTTAGAGGGTTTGGTGTTGTTGAGTCAGGACCAGTCAGCGCCTCCCCCCTCTCCGCTGGGGGGGAGGGGGAGGGGGAGGGCATGTGTAGTAAACAGTGACCCTCTCATAACACCTCACCCCTGCGTGTCTCCCCCGCCTCACCCACCCTCTCATAACGCCTCACCCCTGCGCGTCTCCCCCGCCTCACCCACCCAACTCCCAGCGCCACCCCATCTGTAGAGGGTACTTCTCCCCTAACCCACGATGTCAGCGATGGCACTGCAGGGAGTGCCGGGCTCACAGGAACTTTTACTACAGGGACAGCATCGTGAAGTTCGACCGCGAGGCAGCTGCCAGGTGTGCCACAGGCAGTGTGTACTCAGTTCCTCAAGCTTCAACATCCGTGCACACGAGGGCTTGGGATCTTCAATCAAGTTGGCGTCCACCAGGACGCTGACATGTCCCTAGGGCAGCTCTCCATTGGGCTGCTAACGGAGTCACTGGCTTCTTGGACCTCTTGGGGAGGGTCGATGGTGCTCGTGCAAGCAGCAGATCCTGGGGAACTTGCTGCTGTTTGCAATGGCTGTCTGCCGAGGAGAGACAAGCACCTAGCAACATCTGTTGTTGGGGGCAATGGATGAATTCCCTACTATGTTTGTTAACTGCTCATTACTCTGTAATTTGTCTATGAATATAATCATGTCATAACGTGTTTATCATTCATTACCTTTGAAACTTGTCATGATTGTGACCAGCTCTACCTGGAACTCATTACCTTTGTAAATTCTCATGATTAATGTGTTTATGATTCATTACCTTTGCAATTATTCATGAGTGTGACCAGCTCAACCTGGAGCTCATTACCTTTGTAACTTGGTCATGATTATGACCAGATCTAGTTCATTACCTTTGTAACTTGCTCAGCTATCAAAACTTTGGAGTCCAGTCCCTGGACCAATTATGTACCTCTGTAATCTTTTGACTACCGCCCACAGGATGGGTATGGGGTGCATAATAAACATATTAAACTAAAAAACTAAACAATACGATTCGTACGAGATGTGTCCATGTGTGGCCTGAACTGCCCCGTGTGTGCCAGTGTTTATAAGCCAGCCAGTGTGCGCGCATCTAAGGATACATTCAGTACATTCCATGTTATCCATATTATCACTGTTTTTGGTGCTTGTTTCTGCAAAATAAGTAACTATGGGCCCCAAGAAAGCTTCTAGTGCCAACCCTTCAAGAAAAAAGACTTGATACCTCAAGTCCTAATGGAAGGGGATTCCCCTTCTAAACACTAACACTAAAAACCTCTCATAAGCTAACTTTTTCTCTTTTATCACACCCTTTACTTCATCATTCCACCAATCACTCCTCTTTCCTCCTGCCCCCACCCTCCTATAACCACAAACTTCTGCCCCACATTCTAATACTGCATTTTTAAAACTCATCCAACCTCTTCAACCCTCCTACTTCTCATCTTTGCACTAGCCCACCTTTCTGCCAATAGTCGCTTATATCTCACCCAAACTTCCTCCTTCCTTAGTTTATACACTTTCACTTCCCTCCTACTTGTTGTTGCCACCTTCCTCTTGTCCCATCTACCTCTTACTCTAACTGTAGCTACAACTAAATAATGATCCGATATATCAGTTGCCCCTCTATAAACATGTACATCCTGGAGCCTACCCATTAACCTTTTATCCACCAATATATAATCTAACAAACTACTTTCATTACGTGCTACATCATACCTTGTATATTTATTTATCCTCTTTTTCATAAAATATGTATTACTTATTACCAAATCTCTTTCTACAAATAGCTCAATTAAAGGCTTCCCATTTACATTTATCCCTGGCACCCCAAATTTACCTACTACTCCCTCCACAACATTTTTACCCACTTTAGCATTGAAATCCCCAACCACAAGTACTCTCACACTTGGTTCAAAACTCCCCACGCATTCACTCAACATTTCCGAAAATATCTCTCTCTCCTCTACACTTCTCTCTTCTCCAGGTGCATACACACTTACTATAACCCACTTTTCACATCCAACCTTTATTGTTGTTATTGTAATTATTCTATTGCATTAAACTTAATATTTCATGTGGTAAAATTTTTTTTTTCATACTTTTGGGTGTCTTGCACGGATTAATTTGATTTCCATTATTTCTTATGGGGAAAATTAATTTGACTTTTGATATTTTCGACATTCGATGAGCTCTCAGGAACGGATTAATATCGAATGTCGGGGGTCCACTGTATATGTTATCAAACTTATGAATACTGTGAAGAATTAGATACAGATGTTGCACATGCATCTAATTCTTCATCTTGTTGGTATTGTAGGAGAGTTCTTCATATACAGCACCTATTTTCAGTGTTCCATGTTTTCATTGGCTTTTAATTGAGCCGTTGAAAGTCGGTGGGTGGAACATAATGAAAAATGGATCAATTTGAAGCTAACGAAAACATACAGCACTATAAAGAAGGTGCTGCATATGTGGGGCCCTCCTGTACACCATGTATATACAACTTATGAATATTGTATTACGTTATTTATATATGCTGCATTTTGAAGTGTTTTTTTCAGCTTTGTTCAGTATTTATTCCATTGCTGTGATTTGTCTTATTTTTCTTTGGCAGTGTGTTAATTGCAATCGTGAGAGCGAGTCAGAATGTTCAGGCTGTCATAACCGAGCCTACTTGTAGTGACTTCTGCCAAAGACGAGACTGGGCCAATCATCAGAGTGAGTGTGGCAGATCAAGTCCCACCCCAGAAGATCCACTAAGTACTGTTACTCAGGCTCCAGGCTACATTTTTATGCTTTCAGATTAAGCATTGTATTAATTGATCAACATATATTTTAATTAATTTTTTAAATTAATTTTTATTTTGTATATACGTAATTATGTTTCATTACTGAAGAGATTAATTTTATTGTTTAATTTAATTTTCTGCTAACATTAGTAATAATGGCTAAAACTGAGTCACTCTGCATTAATGACAAATATTTACAGTTCCTAAGCTCATTAACTTAGGTACTATGGTTTAATTTTTAAGTTAGCTATTAGAGTTTAATTTTTAACTTAGATGCCATTGATGATCAAGAGGGTGTCTCAGAATTTTTTTTAATAAAGATGCTGGTTTCATTGTTCTTTTGCTGTTCACACATCCATTCTTGGACATAAGGATAACTCATTTTGGTTAATAGCCGAGGCCACATCATTTCTTAGTCAAGTGTAACATAGGATACATGACAATAAATTTAAACAGATGAATCAATTTTTTTTATATAAACTATTAAGGTGTACCTTTGGCCATCTGTTGATCAAAGCTTTATATTGAGGGCAATTTTCTCTGTTTATAAATCAACCTTTTTAACTTTTATGCATATGTTAATTGTGTAATGAAATTTGACTGCAGAAAGTGCTGTTTCTTACCTACAGCCATTTTTATGTATGAGTAATGAGGTTCATCCTCTTCCTGTAGTCTTCATTCTGCTCTCCCTGCATTCATCCATCTCATAAGGTATCCATGTATGGGGCATTGTTTCTTGCAGGTAACTTTGTCCCATTAGTGCATCATGATTTACTCTATGTTGAGATATGGCCAGGAGTTCATCTGTGGAAGAAACCAAATAATGTACACCATCTGTCCAGGAACAACATTAGTTATGGAAGTTACTCCTAAAGTTAGTCACTGGCCCTGGTTAAGGGTACAGTAGTAGATTTTCTATATAAAGTTAACCTCGTGTACTGTATATCCACACAGAATATGCAATTAGCATATAAAGAGAATTAACATTATAGCTATTATTGAGGAAACTTGCACATTTTGAATAGTACAAAATAATCTTACAAGTGAGAAAGAGGAATGTGCTGATGATTATTGAATTATTACCGATTGATATTAAATGTGGAAATGTCATTCACTTATGTAATAAAGATAAATCAATAATGTATGCATATACGTATTTGTTTCACATGTAATTATAAATGTATCATATGATAATCATCATAATTTCTGTATATATATTTAGAAGTTTCTATTGTAATTGTGTTTAGATTTTTAAGCATTCCCGTTGATTTATGCTTTCTTTTTAACATGAGGGTTTTGTAAATATAAAGTTAAATTGGTGATAATTTGAGTGTAGTAAGCCCTTGATTTAATTGACCCCAATTTAACAAACTTTGAAATATGAGACAAAATCTGGCGAGTTAGTTAATTTTGAGACAGTGCACAAACTCTGTTGATTACAGAGTTGTCCGTAATTATTCTGACCCAGCAAAACATTCCCATCCTTTTTTCACCACAATCATCATTACTGGCCACCCGTACTTCCCTATTAGTCCATTATTAATGCATTGTTGATGTAACAGATTGGTCAAGCACTGATTTTCTAAGATACTTTAACAATATTCTTTCTTTCTTTCAACAAACCGGCTGTATCCCACCGAGGTAGGGTGGCCAAAAAGAAAAACAAAAGTTTCTCTTTTCAAATTTAGTAATTTATACAGGAGAAGAGGTTACTAGCCCCTTGCTCCTGGTATTTTAGTCGCCTCTTACAACATGCATGGCTTACGGAGGAAGAATTCTGTTCCACTTCCCCATGGAGATAAGAGGAAATAAACAAGAACAAGAACTAGAAAGAAAATAGCAGAAAACCCAGAGGGGTGTGTGTATATATATGCCTGTACATGTATGTGTAGTGTGACCTAAATGTAAGTAGAAGTAGCAAGACGTACCTGAAATCTTGCATGTTCGTGAGACAGAAAAAAAGACACCAGCAATCCTACCATCATGTAAAACAATTACAGGCTTTTGTTTTACACTCACTTGGCAGGAAGGTAGTACCTCCCTGGGCGGTTGCTGTCTACCAACCTATTACCTAGATTTAACAATATTGATTATAAAATATAATATGCACATGTGTAACATTAGATCTGGCAAGCACTTTTATTCCTAGTTTAGTTCTGATATTGTTTTAGTGTATAACTGGAGGGGATTTCGGGGGTTAATGCCCCTGTGGCCCAATCCATGACCAGGCCTTGCGGGGGATCAGGGCCTGATCAACTAGACTGTTACTGCTGGCTGCACGTAAACTGATGTAAGAGCCACAGCCCAGCTGGTCAGGTACTTACTTCAGGTGCCTGTCCAGCTCCTCCTTGAAGACAGCCAGGGGTCTATTGTTAATCATGCTGATGTATGCTGGCAGGCTGTTAAACAGTCTTGGGCCTCTGTGTGGATGAACTGTTGATTGATCTAGTCTCATAATTTTGCTCTGTATTGTACTCAAGCAAAATGACCCTATGTAGTGTTTTCAGTGTATGTATTTCTTAACATACTTTTCATTATTATTATGGAGAGTGCTAAACCTATAGGGATTATACAGCACCTGAGGGGAGGGGGATGGAAGGTATTCAGGCTTAATTTAGGAAATTGGAAAACAGATTCAATTCCCTAGATCAAGAGCCACTCACCAGGATCAAGGAATCTCCCTTGATGGGACTATTCAATTCAAGCATTGCTGTATTTATCAACTAATAATGAGAGCTTTGGATAATGAAGGGATGACTCAGTGTAGCAAAGCAAGCTTTTATTGGGACATTTTGCTCTGTTGAGAGCCTTTTCAAACTCTAACAGAGTGACTCATGTCTTTCCTTCACTACTGTCACCAGTATATCATTTAGAGCAAAACAGTGTTTTGACAATGAGGCATTAATTAAGCTACAGACTAACATGATGGAAACATTACATGCAGTATATTTTAAAATGGATAATGGGTGAGGCAACACAATAGTGTAAAAACTTTGTTTTTGCATAAGTATTACATCAGTGAAATTGCAAAAGGAGGCAACAATTTACTGTATGTCTATATTTTATTGTATTTGTGGTACCTTGATGCTTCCTTTATGGGTTTGCTATCATTAATCTTTCATGAAGCACTCTGTCAAAATCCTCTTTGAAAACCAAGTTTGAAACCTCTTTGAAAACCCATTTCCTTCCCTTATGATTTATTTAGTTATTTTTCTTTCAATAAACTGGCTGTATCCCACTGAGGCCTGGTTGCTTAAAAAGAAAAATGAAAGTTTTTCTTTTTAAATTTAGTAATTTATATAGGAGAAGGGGTTACTATCCCCTTGCTCTTGGCATTTGAGTCACCTCTTTTGACATGCATGGATTATAAAGGAAGAATTCTTTTTCACTTGCCCATGGAGTTCTTGTGATTTATTCAACTACCATAATTCACTGCTTCAACTCCTGTAATATAGAGGAATTTGTCACTTGACACCGAGATGTTTAATATTTAGCATATTGTTATTGTCTAGGATTTCTGTCTGTATTTGTGTCCATATCAGCAATACATTTGTCATTTTCCATTTGTGTACAACTTTATATTCTTGTATTGAGATTTCAAAAATGTTCTAAATTGGGTAGCTTAATTTTGCTGAACACTTTTTTAAGACCCTAGGATGATGTCTTGTCTGATAATATTTGCTGTTAAGAGGCTAGGATGATGTCTTGTCTGATAATATTTGTGGTACTTTGAGTTTCAAACAGCTCCCAACTCGAACAATTATGTAACTATTTTTGTAAGTGGTTTTGTAAGTGTATTTTTGGGGGTCTGAAATGGACTAATCTAATTTATATTATTCCTTATGGGAACAAATTCATTTGGTATCGGCACTCGAACAGCCTTCTGGAACAAATTAAGTTCATAACTCGAGGTACCACTGTATCTATAATAGTAATAATAATAATGTGTGAGTGAGGTGAAAGTGTTGAATGATGATGAAAGTATTTTCTTTTTGGGGATTTTTTCTTTTTTGGGTCACCCTACCTCAGTGGGAGATGGCCGACTTGTTAAAAAAAAAAAAAAAAACCTTTATTTACTACAAGTACTGTACATGTATGTGGTATACAGGCCTAGCTGACATCAGTGACATACTACTATACAGAAAGTCCCTTGTTATGCAGAGCATTTCGGGCAAATTAGGTCCTTGTCCCAGAATGCGACCCACACCAGTCGACTAACTCCTAGGTACCCATTTTACTGATGGGTGAACATAGACAACTGGTGTAAAGAAACACGCCCAATGTTTATACCTGCGCCGGGAATCAAACGTAGACCCTCATTATGTGAAGCGAGAGCTTTAATGATCAGGCCATGGGGCACTGTGGTAAACTAATTATAGTTTCTTTATTCTTTTCATCGTTATTTTAATTAGCTCTATCTTAGCTATGGGTGTTCAAGCTTTCTTTCATTAAGGTCTTTTATTTTTTAATACACTGGTTTTTAATATTTAGTATGTTTCACCTTTTTTGCTCAGATTTAGCAATTTTATTGTCAGTTTTAATTCTTTGCAATTTGTCATAAACCTCTAATTTGTTTTTTTACTTAAATAAGAAATTTGGTTTTGTCTTACTTTTGCCTATTGTTTCTGCTGCACATTGTTCTTCACTCTATACACTATTGATAATGTATTGTATCTGTATTCAGTTCTGGCCACAGTAACACTTTACTTACCAATGAAAATCAGAGTTAGACTCTCTCAGACTTTATAGCTCAGTTTGCCTCCTTCTGCCTTCCATATCCCCCCCTTCACATCCTTTTTCTGTACCAGTAGCCTAGCCCTTGTTCTCAATATGTAACTATTCCTACATAGAATAAGATAGTGGCACATTGCAGATGTATCCAATTTTGTTAGATAATAAAAAATCTATCCTAGTTTCTACTCTGCGAGATGGAACCAGTCAGGATAAGATGATCAGTTTTCAACCAGCTGTGCTGCAGTCTTCTCTCAGGGAAGGTACCTTGATGCTGGTGAGTGGTCTTGATCCAAGAAAGAGGCCTATCCTTCTCCTTAGATCGAATGTTACTGTGGTACTGCAAGTGAGAGTTATGATGTTCCCATCTTTGTAGGTTCATTGTGCATTTTGTATTTCTGGTTAATGTAGAAGAGTATGACATAAGTTATGGTTGGAAGTTCATTTTAGTTATTGATCTGTCCATTACTTTTAGTAAAGTAAAACACTCATTAACTGATTAATTGGGGAAAAAGGGTGTTTGATAATGCCAAATTGTCTGCAACTTCTTAATTATGAAAATAATATTTCAAGATGAGCTGATTGTCTTCTGAAGTAATGGACTTGGCCTGCTAATACAGAAGACAACCAGACACTAAAAATATGGGTATTGTAACCTGTAGTATTACAGTACAATAATGTTCTGTATAATAATTTTATAATACTCTGTGTAATTTACAGTAATTTTACTTATATTTTTGTGGTGGAGATGAGGTGTAAACTGCTGTGATTGATAGAGCTGTAAAGCTCTACCAGTGAAAATAATGTAGATGGCTGACATGTAGAAGGATGAGAAGATATAGATGGCTGAGAAGATGTAAATGAGTGAGAAGACAGATTTCTGAGAATCACACTGAGAACCATACATTTTCTCTTGGCACCACTACTTCTTTTAGAAGCCAATGTTAATTGCACTCTATGTAATACTGTATGTTAATAAAGTCACACAAAATGCTCTAAATCCAGGGAAAATTTGAGACTGAATGAAGAATGTATGCATGAGTGAGTACAAACAATAAAGTAGCATGGGTGGCCTATGACTCAGGGAACAATGAAAACTGACAGGTATTGGATGTGTATGTTATGGCCGGTGCTGGACAAATGTTGGAATTGGTGGACTTGGCTTGACACTTCAGGAGATAACCAGATACTCTCATTGCTATGAATAAAATGTGGAATTATGGACTCTTGTACATTTTGTCTGATAATTAGAGTGTTTATCAGGCCATTTTTTTTTTTGTCCAAAATTGTTGAAATCCATTAAAGAAGGATCTGTTTATGAGAGGTTTTACGGTATTTAAAAATCACTGTCTGATGTAAAGCATATTAACCTGTTCTGCAGTGTATTATTATTATTTGTGACAACTGACACCTTGTTGTCTATGTAATTATGTAGTCACTTCATTATTCTCTGTCTACAGAAATTAGCCTGAGCTATATTGGTGTGTTTATAGTGGTCTATTGTTTTTTGCCCATTTTTTATTTATAGTGGTCTGTTATTTATCAGTTATCAGTATTATTTTGAGTGATTATTATGGTGCATTTGTTGTATGAATTGGCTTTTGTGTTTTGAAATATTCAGCTCCTATCTCTGAATTATTCTTGTTTGGAATTTATCTTGAATTCTAGCTGTAGTTATATTTATACAGATTATTATATATTTATATACAAATAAACATTTTGTTTGCATAAACCATATTCTTTTACCCTAAATTAATATGCCATTTGACCTTTGAACTGGTTTCTCAACTCTTTAAAGATGTTAATGGTGATTATTATGCAGGCTATGAGCAGCCAGGATCACATTACAAATTTAAGAAATAGAGGTGCTGGAAAGCCAGGTGCAGTAGTTAACTTGGTCCCAAACATCATATGAGCAGAGCTTGTAATCTGGAGTCGTTTGTTAGATGTAATATCTTAAGTGATTACTATTACTATACAGTATGCACTGCATATAGAAACCAAGACAGCATTTACTGTGGGTCACGTCTAAGCTTGTAAGAAACTTATGCACCGTAACAGAAGGTACCTTGATGCTTGAAGATGGCTCTACAGCTGAGGAATTAGAGCAATCCTTCCTTGGATCAAACCTAATTATAGTACTTACCATACAATAGTTTCTACTTGATACAAGAACCTGAAACAGTGCATGCAGTTTTTATGATTCACATTGGATGCCAAAGAATTATTGTGCAGTACAGTAATTATCAAAATTCTTAAAGAAACATTGAGCATGAAATGAGGTAAAGATTTAAAAATATTACAAGAACACTTACTAAAATAAATGCAGATTTATAGTGATAAATATTAATGGCATGTGCATGGTTGTATGCACCTCACGGAACTAACGGGGTTCAAGGGCATGGATGGCCATTCCTAAAACTGGCTATGAAGGGACTTGAGCTAGAGTTTGCCAAGCATATATTAGTGTGAGATGCTTCTGTATAAACCAGCACAGTGGTGACCCATGTTAAACTTCCTACAAGACTAAGATAAATGAGCAGCACTTGAATGTTTTTATTGCTAAAATGATTCAACAGTACAAAAGGCTTCTTTAGTTAAATACAAAGCACATTTGTAAATATAATACTGGAGACAGTAGAAGTAAATTTCTTTACATCATAGGGAAGTTAGCATGGACCCATGCTAACTTCCCTATGATGTAAAGAAATTTTTCAATTTTGAAAGTCAAAAGTATTTTAAACATGACAAGTCCATCTGTCTTAGTAGGGGATAGCCAATCTTTCAACCCCAAAATATGGGCATGCAGCCAGATCTAATATACTAAAACTTGTATATACAGTGGAACCTCAAAAATCAAACTGCTCCCAACACAACCAATTATGTAAGTGTATTTTTGTAAGTGCTTTTATAAGTGTATTTTTGAGGGTCTGAAATGGACTAATCTAATTTACATTATTCCTGATGGGAATAAATTCATTCGGTAAAGGCACTCGAACAGCCTTCTGGACCGAAGAAAGTTCGATATTTGAGGTTCCACTGTATATTTCAACTTGTCGGTATTGTAAACCATCAGTAATATAATACAGTGGACCCCCACCTTACGAACACATTGCATTACGTTAAATCCGCCATATGAAGCATTTGAACGCAAAAATTTTGCCTCGCTTCACGATAAAAAACTCGCCTTACATGATTTGTCCGGGACACACCCCACGTGTGGCCTCAGCACCATTGTTTACAAGCCAGCCAGATTTTTAACCCAGAGTATACTTATCCAGGTACACTCCAGGAGGGTTAGCCACCCAGGATAACTCTCAAGATGCGACCCACACTAGTCGGCAAACACCCAGGTACCTACTTGCTTACTAGGTGAATAGGACAGCAGGTGTAAAGAAACACGCTCAATGTTTTCACCCTCGCCAGAGATCGATCTACGGACACTTAGTGTGTGAGGTGAGAGCATTGCCTACCAAGTCTGTATGTAGAGGCAAGCCACTTTGGCAATAAAGTTACCCACCTGTTGTGTGTGTCTTATTCATCAACTTGTTGGTACTATATACTATCAATAAAATTATGTAGGTAAATTTTACAGGTAGTGTCCTAAGTTAACACATCATGCCCATAATTGTGAAGAAACTTTAGTACAATGAACAGTTAATTTAGTTTACACTTACTGATATTGATGTACCTCAGTCAAGTGGGACTTTAAGGTCACCAGACACAAAAATATCCCTTCTTCATGCCCACCTTCTCAGGTCATCACCTCTCATACGTCTAGTTTAATATTTTTATTATGCACCCCATACCCATCCTGTGGGCGGTAGTCAAAAGATTACAGAGGTATATAATGGGTCCAGGGACTGGACCCCATGTGTATCATGCACCTGGACTTTAAATTATTATTACAACATATTATTATTATTTGAAAAAAATTATGCCAGTAACACTGATAACTTATATGTGGACTGTATATATTCGGTAATATCAATTACTTGACCTGAGTAATTTGCTTGGGTAATTTTATATACTAAATATAAATCAATTACATGATCAGAAAAGTATTAAGAACATTTCAATATTACTCACCAAATTAAGATTTTGGTGTTATATCCTAACACCTCACTTTTGGTAGGTAATTCATATTGGTTATTATAAATTAACATACCTGTAGTTAAAATTAATACACTGGGAGGCAGACATTACATGTGGTGTCAACTTCATCAATTTCTGACAATACTGCTTCTATTACACATTAATTTCATTTGAATTATTATTATAATCACGAAGGAGCGCTAAACCTGTAGGATTATAGAGCGCACTTAGGGGAGAGGATGGAAGGTATTAAGACTAAATTCAGGGAACTGGAGCACAGATCCAATTCCCTAGATCAAGAGCCCCTCACCAGCATCAAAGAACCTCCGTTGAGGGGAATTTCACTTAACATTTGGCCAATTTCCAAATTCCTTGAGAGATACGATAAGATAAAATTTTGTTCGGATTTTTATCCCCGGAGGGTTAGCCATCTAGAATAACCCAAGAAAGTCAGTGTGTCATCGAGGACTGTCTGTCTTATTTCCATTGTGGTCCTCAATCTTGTCCCCCAGGATGCGACCCACACCAGTCGACTAACACCCAGGTATCTACTTACTGCTAGGTGAACAGGACAACAGGTGTAAGGAAATGGGTGAAATGTTTCTACCCTGCCAGGAATTGAACCCGGGCCCTCTATGCGTGAAGCGAGAGCTTTACCAGCCAGGTCACGGGGTCACCCGTGGCAGTACTCCTCAGATTCAGTTTTCCTTTTATGACCTCTCCCCTGGGTCAAATAAAGAGCTGACATGACCAGCAGTTACCTTCCACACGTCCTCACAAGTAGTTGGGTAGTTTGTGAATACCATTAACACTTCACACACACACATTACTAATTACAGAAAAATTATAGTAAATTTTCCACAGGTACAGTGAATAGCGCACTGGTCTGGAGTTTACCTGGAGAGAGTTCCGGGGGTCAAAACACCCCCACGGCCCGGTCTGTGACCAGGCCTCCTGGTGGATCAGAGCCTGATCAACCAGGCTGTTGCTGCTGGCTGCACACAAACCAACGTACGAGCCACAGCCCGGTTGGTCAGGAACCGACTTTAGGTGCTTGTCCAGTGCCAGCTTGAAGACTGCCAGGGGTCTGTTGGTAATCCCCCTTATGTGTGCTGGGAGGCAGTTGAACAGTCTCGGGCCCCTGACACTTATTGTATGGTCTCTTAACGTGCTAGTGACACCCCTGCTTTTCATTGGGGGGATGTTGCATCGTCTGCCAAGTCTTTTGCTTTCGTAGTGAGTGATTTTCGTGTGCAAGTTCGGTACTAGTCCCTCTAGGATTTTCCAGGTGTATATAATCATGTATCTCTCCCGCCTGCATTCCAGGGAATACAGGTTCAGGAACCTCAAGCGCTCCCAGTAATTGAGGTGTTTTATCTCCGTTATGCGCGCCGTGAAGGTTCTCTGTACATTTTCTAGGACCATAACATTGTATCAATCGCATCTGCTAGAAAAATGACAGGATGGATAACGAGAACCTTCAAAACTAGGGATGCCAAGCCCATGATGACACTCTTCAGGTCACTTGTTCTATCTAGGCTGGAATATTGCTGCACACTAACAGCACCTTTCAAGGCAGGTGAAATTGCTGACCTAGAAAATGCAGAGAACCTTCACGGCACGCATAACGGAGATAAAACACCTCAATTACTGGGAGCGCTTGAGGTTCCTAAACCTGTATTCCCTGGAACGCAGGCAGGAGAGATACATGATTATATACTCCTGGAAAATCCTAGAGGGACTAGTACCGAACTTGCACACGAAAATCACTCACTACGAAAGCAAAAGACTTGGCAGACGATGCAACATCCCCCCAATGAAAAGCAGGGGTGTCACTAGCACGTTAAGAGACCATACAATAAGTGTCAGGGGCCCAAGACTGTGCAACTGCCTCCCAGCATACATAAGGGGGATTACCAACAGACCCCTGGCAGTCTTCAAGCTGGCACTGGACAAGCACCTAAAGTCGGTTCCTGACCAACCGGGCTGTGGCTCGTACGTTGGTTTGTGTGCAGCCAGCAGCAACAGCCTGGTTGATCAGGCTCTGATCCACCAGGAGGCCTGGTCACAGACCGGGCCGCGAGGGCGTTGACCCCCGGAACTCTCTCCAGGTAAACTCCAGGAAGGTGAGATCCTCCAACATGATCACTCCCAGGTCTTTGACGTTGGTGTTTTGTTCTATTTTGTGGCCAGAATTTGTTTTGTACTCTGATGAAGATTTAATTTCCTCGTGTTTACCATATCTGAGTAATTGAAATTTCTCATCATTGAACTTCATATTGTTTTTCTGCAGCCCACTGAAAGATTCGGTTGATGTCCGCCTGGAGCCTTGCAGTGTCTGCAATGGAAGACACTGTCATGCAGATTCGGGTGTCATCTGCAAAGGAAGACACGGTGCTGTGGCTGACATCCTTGTCTATGTCGGATATGAGGATGAGGAACAAGATGGGAGCGAGTACTGTGCCTTGTGGAACAGAGCTTTTCACCGTAGCTGCCTCGGACTTTACTCTGTTGACGACTACTCTCTGTGTTCTGTTTAGTGAGGAAATTATAGATCCATCGACCGACTTTTCCTGTTATTCCTTTAGCACGCATTTTGTGCGCTA